GAAAGCCTATCAGGGCAACAATAATATCATCTTGTGTAGTCCAGAATGGCGATTAATTGAGTGTCTACTTTGTACCGGCTAGGAGCTGGGTGGTAATGGCCACATTTTATAGGTGGAACAACAGAGGCTCAGAGAGGCTAGGCCTTTTACCCAACTGAGGTCATCTAGCTCTCTAGAGGACCCATGCTTTTCTCACTTTTTCACAGCTGTTTTAGATTCCTAGTGTGGTACAGTGTTTACTTCCATCTTGTGTTAAGTGCCGGTCCACAAGCTCAAGGAGTCACCGGTTCTTGATCCTCAGAATATATATATTTAAGTCTCCAAACTGAAAGGTGAAGGAGAAGTAAACCCTGATCAGAGATACCATATTCAAAATGCTTACAAACCACCTCCTCTCTGAACTTCTTTAAAACACCAATAGCTTCACTTAAACCAGACTCCCTTGAACAGCATTTTTTATGAATACAAGCAGTTGCTGCAAGGGAGATCTAACTTCCAATTAAGTTGGCTTCTGATCGTTGTGGAATTCTGGTTTACACTGCTCTTGGCTGGTTCTCTCTTAGCTACCAAGTGTATTATAATTGGTTTCAGGCATAATGATTATAAGGGATGATTGCTAGGTGTCTTGGCCTAGACAGCTCTCCTTTAGCAGTTAAGATCTGACCCTGATCCTGAGTTCTGAGAATAATGGGCAGAAATGGAGATGAGCATTGTAGCAATTAATGAAGTTGCTATTGATGGCTGTGGACTGGGACTTGAATGTCTAATTTGTGTTCCATTCCTCATTGTAGAAGGAAATGTCATGGGAAAAAAGGGGGGGAGCAAGGAGGTGGAAGAATTATGCAAGAACATATGAGAGCTGGTAGTTTAACAAGAGGAACAGATGCAAAAGGTTTTTTTCTTCCATTTTTCCTAATAGCAAATTATTATGCTTTGGTTGATAAGGTACCTAATTGGTATGGATTTTAGAATTTAAATCATTCCTGCCATCCTTGCTAGTTCCCATTGGGGCAAAAAGCATAGGTAGAATAATGCCATTTAACAGGGCCAGGAAGAATAAGTCTAATGAAAAATGAATTTAAGTCTTCTAGATCTCTTGAGTTTTTTTTTCTGTTGGCTCCCAAAGGTGAAATAGATGAATATTTCAGAACTTGCTATATAAAATGAAAGATTAAAGAGCTTTATAGATTTTGTAAAAACCTCTAGTATACTCATAAAACCACGTGTGGAGAGTGGTGACAAAATAAAGGTGAACTGGATGAAGGAAATTTGTCTTTCTAGAAATTTTCATTATGGTCTGATTGGCCAGGAAGAAGGTTAAGAGGCATGGAAACTGTGTACTTTGATTTGAGCCCATAATGGCCACTCAGTACATACTTGCCAAATTGCATAGCCATTTGGAGAGATTAAATTGTGAGGTTTCAACTTGTTATATCACCTTTGTAGAATTTCCCAAGCATTTATTAACCATGTGGCACACTCAAATGGTCTTTATATTTGCCACTTATGTGGCCACATTAAAGACTCTTTCAAAACATGAAGGAAAGGAAATACATTTTCTGAGAGATGAAATGAGTTAGGATTTCATATGTATATAGCAGCAAGCTGATTACTTAAAGCACAAACTAACGTGTACACACACACACACATGAGTTTCCTAGACAGAATGGAAGTCAGGGAACCAAAGTAAGATCCATGGTGGTGGGGCTGGCGCTGTAGCGCAGTGGGTTAACAGCCCTGGCCTGAAGCGCCAGCATCCCATATGGGTGCCGGTTCTAGTCCCAGCTGCTCTTCTTCTGATCCAGCTCTCTGCTATGGCCTGGGAAAGCAGTAGAAGATGGCCCAAGTCCTTGGGCCCCTGCACCTGTGTGGGAGACCCAGAAGAAGCTCCTGGCTTCAGATCGGTTCAGCTCTGGCCAATGCAGCCATCTGAGGAGTGAACCATCGGACACAGAAGACCTCTCTCTCTCTGCCTCTCCTCTCTCTGTGTAACTCTGACTTTCAAATAAATAAATAAATCTTTAAAAAAAAGATGCATGGTAGTGTTGCATGTCACTTTCAAGTCAGTCTCTTCTTCATTAGATCATTTCTCTTGTACTCACGCACCCATATCATAAGAGCTGCTGATCCAAAATAGGAACTCTAAGAATATTTTATTCTTTCTGGAGAATGTTCAACCTTTTAATGTTTGTTTGACCGACAGCATTTAGAAGCCTAAAGGATGAACTTTTCATTTCCAGAAATTTTAAATTAAAGCTCAGCTTGACATGCCACTCTGAATATAACCCCTCCTAAAACCAACAGAACTGAAGATGTCGTTCATTAAAAAGACAAGTGAGTACTGAAAATCACTTACTAAATGAATATGAAAGCCCAAGTGGAAGTAAGTCTCAACATTCAGTTTCGTATGTGTGCCAATTTTATGAGCAATATTATTACCCGTTGTAGGAAACAACCTGTGGTTGTGACAACTATCTGGGTAACACATTGGGCGTGTAATAGCACAAAAAACCTTTGGGCACATTTATGTACCCAGTGTAGAAGAACCAGGAGGGGAGGATGCTAGCAATTGATAAGCATGCTGTGGGACATGGCCCAGAGGACATTTAAGGGGGACTCCCCCACTTTGAGTTCTGAAAAAGAGCTGCATGCATCTCATCATCTACCTTAACACTTAGCAGAGAGAATTCCACACAAGAAAATTTGACCCCAAGAGATCATTAAAAATCACTCCTAAGAATGTAACAGTTTTTCTAAAAATGCAATTCATTGGAAAGACATCTTCCCCTAATTAAAACATTATCACTTTTCCTGAAAGCTACACACCCAACACAGCCCCTGAGCTGCTGGCAGTTGCTAGTGAGAGGTGAGATGGGCATAGTTTCAGCAGCCAGAATTGTTCTCCAACTTCAGGGGACCGCAGAATCACAGATGGCTGGACTCCCCATCCCTCCACCCTGGAGTTTTGGAGTCTGCTAGGTCTGAGCTGAAGCCAAGAACTTGCACTTCGAGCAAGTGCCCAGGTGATGCTGGGGTGTGCTGGTCCTTGGCCTCTGCTTTGAGAACCACTTAGCAGGGATTTGGGGCAGAATAAAAGGTCTGCCAAAGTAGCTGATTTCGCATCCAGTCCTTCTTATTGGGTTCTCCTGCTCTTTATGCACATTCAGCCCTCTCTGTCTCAGGGACACAGCTTCGGTAAAAATGCCAGGCTTTGCTCTTGTGATGGGCATGAGTGACCTGCCTATGTTTGCTCTGCAGAGGGAATCCATTCTCCTTTCTCTGAAAAAAGCCCAGGAAATCAAAGGCAAGCAGTAGTACAAGGCATGCCACAAAGTTCGTGGAAAAATGGAATTAAACCATACGTTTATTTTGGTGCAAAAACGAGATCCATGCATAGTTTTTTTTTTTTTAATACCCATTCCCAAGAACTGTTTGAAAATCCGTTATAGGTATGGCATTCAAAATTTCTTTGCACCAAAGTAAACTTACCTTTTACTTCCATTTTCTGTGAGCTTCTCTAAGTACCCGCATAGACAAAAATTAGATAAAAGGACAAGGAGAAAGGCTACGAAAAACATTTCACTTAAGGTTTGACAAGCTGGATCCACAGAGAACCAGATTCTTCTGCCCCAGCCCAGAGAAGCAGAGTGATGAGTTAGGAACATGAGAAGCAGAGATTCATAGAGAATCTCTTGGCATGTAGCGAATGTCCAACACATCTGTCTCCCTCCCGATGCGTCTGTCTACTCAGACCAGATTTTTGAAAAACTATTTGCAATTAGTTTTCAGTCTCTGATTTGCCCACCCAGTGTGAGAAGAGAATGGTTTTGTAGCTCTTGCGTTTTGATAAGCTCGCCAATGTTCTGGCTTTGAAGCTGGCGTCATATTTTCTTTCTGCTCCCTGTTCACTTAAAGGCAGTTTCTTATTTGATGTGGTCCTTTAATTTTGCTTTGGTATTTATTATATTTCCTGCCTATAAACTTGATATCATGAGGTGTTTGTTTTTGTACCAGGCAAGAGCTTCTTGAAGAATGACTAATGTTACAGATACACTGGGGGCTTCTCTTTTCATGGACTCCCTGAGAAAAGCTTCAGGAGCAAGCTAATTTGCCTTACCAATTCTACTGAAGAGATAAAAATCTTTCACACTTAGGTAGTGGCTACGTGGGAGCCAAAACACAGATCTGAAATAGCCTGGTCTTCTCATTTGTACTTTTCAATGAGTTTTCCATGCTGTCATATGTATAGAAGCTATGATTGAGTTCTTTATGCATTCACATCCCCGACTCTCCCCACCTACCCACAGACACAGACACAGACACACACGCACAGGATCCTGGCGCTCACTGTATAAATCCATTAGGAACCTGGGGTCAACTTGGTGGCCCCATTTGTACTAAGGTCTGAGAACTTACTTCAGAACACTCACGCGCTTACTTCTAGGGGTGTTTCATTATGTTTCTTTGCCTCGAGCATTTTCCAGGCATGCCGTGTAGATAAATAAGGAGAAGAAAAGGAAAACAAATCATGCTCAAGTAAAAACTTTTGAAAACATCTGTCTTGGTCTTAGGTTACAATTAAGGAGCATGATTAACTTTGGTTTAGATCCTTGCAGTAAAACGTTCTGGAAAACCTCAAGATTGAGACTTCTTGTACCTATTTTTGTCCGATTCTTTGTTCACCTTGAGATCATATAGGAATATGAGAAGCAGAATGACTTTCGTGTTGTACCAACTCCTGAGAAGCTATTTGTTTAGAATTGTATTTGTCCCCTCTTTTAGACAGACATATATGTAGGTGACGCCGTGACATGGCTTTCCTTTCGTTGAGAAATGATCTGAGATGGCAGATTCCAGAAAAGTAAATAACCCTTTATACAGGCATGTTTTCCAATTGAATTTTTTGGAGTTTTTTTTAACTGTATTATTACAAAAAAGCCTTTTCCTTCATGTTTCTTTTCTTTTTGTTTTGTTTTGTTTATTTTTGTTGTTTTTTTTAGAATTCTTCAAAGAGCTGCTTGAAAATGCTGAGAAATCCCTGAATGATATGTTTGTGAAGACATATGGCCGCTTATACATGCAAAACTCTGAGCTATTTAAAGATCTCTTTGTGGAGTTGAAGCGCTACTACGTGGTGGGGAACGTGAACCTGGAAGAAATGCTAAACGACTTCTGGGTTCGTCTCCTGGAGCGCATGTTCCGCCTGGTGAACTCCCAGTACCACTTTACCGACGAGTATCTGGAGTGCGTGAGCAAGTACACAGAGCAGCTGAAGCCCTTCGGAGACGTCCCGCGGAAGCTGAAGCTGCAGGTCACTCGTGCCTTCGTAGCAGCCCGTACTTTTGCTCAAGGCTTAGCGGTTGCAAGAGATGTAGTGAGCAAAGTCTCTGTGGTAAGCGCTATTTACGTTCTCCGTTTCTGTTCTGTTTCCTTTCAAGAGAACGTTCGGGAAAGGAAGAGAAGGTACCACCGGAATTCCATGGGCTCAGTTGTACTCTCTTCTTTTTTTCTTGTGTCTTCTTGCTCAGATTTTGTCCTTACCCTCGTACATGTACATTTCAGAATTACTAAACAATTCTAGGATGAACATCTTTATATATCATTCTTAGGCTTTCCAGTGGTAGCCATTCGTACAAGTCAGATGTATGATCACTCTGGAATCTTGATTTAAAAATGGATTTAATTCCTTCACACTCATTTTCACTCTGAGTACACTTACCCTTTAGTGAATTATATGAGGGACTTCAAAAAATTCATGGAAATGTGCATTATCTTTTATTCATTCATTCACTTATTTATTTGAAAGGCAGAGAGGGAGAGGGAGAGGGAGGGGAGAGGGAGGGAGGGAGGGAGGGAGAGAGGGGGAGAGAGGGGAAGAGAGGGAGAGAGGTTGAGCAAACTTCTATCCACTGGCTCACCCTCCAAAGGCCCAAGCCAGAAGCTGGAAATGCAGTGCAGGTCTCCCATGTAGATTGCAGGGTCCCAACTATTTGAGCCATTATTTATGCCTCTCAAGATCTGTAATCAACAAGAAGCTGGAATTGAGAGTGGAGCTAAGTCTGCCACCCAGACATTCCTGTATATATGGGAAGTGGGCATCACAAGTGACATCTATTTTTTTTAAGATTTATTTATTTACTTGAAAGTAGAGTTACAGTGCAAGAGAAGAAGAGAGAGAGAAATAGACAGATCTTCCATCTACTGGTTTACTCCCCAAATGGCTGGAGCACCCAGTGCTGGGCCAATCTGAAATCAGCAACCAGGAACAACTTCTGGGTCTGCCATGGGTGCAGGGGCCCAAGCACTTGGGCCATTCTCCACTGCTTTCCCAGGTGCATTAACAGAAAGCTGGATTGGGAATGGAATAGCCAGGACTCTAACCGGCACCCATATGGGATGCAGGCACTGCAGACTGTGGCTTAACCTGCACTGGCATCCACAAGTGACATCCCAACTGCTGGTCCACCTGCTGTTTGCATTATCTTTCAGTTTGAAGTTTTTGTGAACTCTTGGAATGCTCCTTGTACACATACAGGCTCTTCTTTTGGTTGTTTGGTGGTGACTGTGCGTGAGCCTACCAGTTCTAGTCTAGAAAAGACTTTGACATGCATGCATGATCTTGGTGGACTTGCAGCTCTTTTATTAGTCAGTGCTTTCTGTGATCATGAATGTGGCCCACACTGCTCTTGATAGTGACTTTGTTTATAGAAAACTAAGTTGTAATGTAAGAGCAGGAGGTGATGAGCGAACTCTGATATTTCATTTGTAAATGAAGTGAAATGGAAGAGAGCAGTATTTTTCCCACTGTGTTCCTTGGAGCCACCTCTGGAGGCACCTCTGGAGCCTCCTTGAGGAGGGAGAGAGGGAGGGGGGCACCTTCTAGTGCGCATCTGTGCCTTTACCAACTGCTTCTGCCAGAAAGGCTTTGTTGCCCTTGATTTTATGCAAATGGGGTGGGGGTGGGTGGAGCAAGATTTCAAGAGGACTTAGGTTGTACCGCTCCTTCCCCACACCCTAATTGTATTTCAGGACTTCCTGAATACCTGCCCACCTCTACCCTTCCATGTCCCCAAACCAGGGAAGAAACAAAAATGCTGGAGTGAAGTTACCTTTGCAAGACCCATCTTAGTGCTATTAACTTCATACACTCAAAGGACAAAGCAAATCATAGGTCATTGCTAAAATACTAGCCTAGGTACACAAAGGATAGCAGCTTCTGCTTAGGCCACGTGGAGACTTTGAGGACTAGAGGAATGGGCAACTCAAATTGCATGGCCACACTCAAGTTGCCACCTGATGGCTGTCATGGTCAACCTAGCTGTAGGTAAAACCTAGTAAGTAAACATCTAAACTACGCAGTGCTTATTACCATTATGCCCAGGCAACAGGCATCACTAATCGTTGATAAGGAATCAGAACAATTCTGGGCAGACTGTATGGCTAGTTGGAGAAGAAATTGTTATTTACAGGGGTGAAGATAAAGATTCTACACAAGTATGTTTTGAAAAAGAGACGCGTATAGGCTTTCCATATTAGAATTGGATGATACTAAGGATTAGTTGATCGGTTGCATTTGTTACTACAGAGTTGTGTATTCTGTCTGTCTCCAGGCTATAAAGTGTCAAAAAACCAATTCTTTCTGATACGGTTTTATTTATTCCTTTGCCTCCTGATAATTTCATTGTAAATAAAAAATGTTGGAGTATATCAAGGTAGGTGAGCGTTAAGTAGGGAAATGTTTGCTACAATCAGACAAATAATCTGGTCCTTGAACTTCTGCCAATCCTAGCAACCATTATTAATTTTGGAGGTGCTTACGTTGGAGTCCCTAAAGTACTGCACAACTAATCCAGATCGAATGCATTCACATTGTAGGTCACCTAATATATTTGTCATCCTTGCGCAATTCCTTGCATTCATCCTAAATTGAAAATACAGGAAAGTGCCACTGTGTGGTTTGAATGACTGTGTGTGCATGTGCACATGTGTGTATACTTGTGCCAAAGAGAGAGAGAGAAGGCACGTGTTTGAAAGGTGATTTCTTTAACCATCCCTCTCTTCTTCTGAGTTCCAATGATAATTCTTTGAAATAATTACCCAACAGGTGATACAGGCCTACCGTGGAGTTAGCGTCTGTTTATGAAGTTGGAGCCACTTTAGACACGTGAGATTCCTGGAACCTTCCAAGTTAGGATCAGAGAGGGTGACTAAAATAAGGAAGTGATTCAGACAATTGATTAGAGGTTAGACCATTGAAGGCAAGAAGGCTTGCCTTTGTTTACATCACCTTACCTCCCAGGATGCTTCCCTGTGTTGCATTCTCCACATTGTTCTCAGAACTAACTGTGGGAAATCGATAAACCTAACTTTGATATCTAAGAATCAGACACCCCCATTTATGCCATGAAGAGCATATATCCCACTGTGAAATAATCGCCACCACTTTCTGATGTTGCTTTGGGTATGAATTTTTCTGAAGAGCAAAAATGTATTACTGGTTAAGTTCTTTGAGAAAGTTGCTTTCCAAATATACCCCTCAGGGTTTTCTCTTTGTTTGTGTAAGAATTGATGTCTATTCTGGGATGGGCGTTTTGAGCAATGGTCAAGATGCCAGCATCCCATATGGGAGTGCCTGGGTTTGAGTCCCAGCTCTGCTTTTGATCCAGCTCCCTGCTAATGTGCCTGGGAAGCAGTAGGTGATGGCTCAAGAACTTGGATCCCTGTCACCCAGGTGGGAGACATGGATGGAGTTCCTGGTTCCTGACTTCAGCCTGGCTCAGCCCAGAAGTTGTGGGCATTTGGGGAGTGGTCCAGTGGGTGGAAGATACTTTCTCTCTCTTTCCCTCACTCTCTCCTCTCTCTCTCTCTCTCAAATACATAAATAATTAAAAAATAATTGATCTTCTATATTCCTTGTATTCTTGTATGTGCCTAACAAATACTTGCAGTTTTATAGTAATACAATGAATATAAGCTATGTGACCCAATTTATGTAAAGTAAACATTATTTGCCAATTGTTTAGTTGAAAATAATGTTTCATGGCTACTTTAAGTGCTGTGTTTATGATTGAACGCTTTTTTCATTTCACTTTTTATTTTAATTAATTTTTAATGGATTTAATTTAATTTTATTTTTTTTTAAGATTTATTTTACTTGAAGGGCAGAGTCACAAAGAGAGAGGGAGAGAGATCTGCCATACGCTGGTTCACTCCACAAATGGCCACAATGGCCAGGGCTGGGCTAGGCCAAAGCCAGAAACCAGGAACCAAGAGCTTCTTCAGGTTTCCCACATGAGTGTAGGGACCCAAGGATTTGAGCCATCTTGTGCTGCTTTCCCAGGCGCCTTAGCAGGCAGCTGGTCAATGTGATCTTTAGATAGAAGTCTAAGAACATAATGATATTCCCTTTCTCCTTCCCTCTCTCCTTCCTAATTGAAAACTTTCTTTTTTAAATGTGGTTCATTGCTGATGTTCCAAATATAAGGACTTAAAATAAAACCCTTCAGCCAAGTTGATTTTTATCATCTAAATTCCATTATCATAAACATCTAATCAGTTTCTAAAGCTGATTAAAACAAGAATTATATGAAATTCTATCATCTAATGAATATTTCTATATATAAGCATGCAAGGCATTTCTTACACACTTGAGAAAATTCTGGTTAACTGGTATTCATACTCCAAAAAATTAATGTCAACAGAATTTAAATGACAGTGGTTTGGAGAAGACAATAAGTGATCTGGCTATCAAAAACGTATTTCAAATTGAGCATGTTGACAAATCAATCTGGTTACTGTATAAGAGTCTCTACCAGTTTGGGTACACAGGCAATGTTGCTTTCATACCTATGGGTTCCCACCCCTGTTAATATCTGCTCAAGCGTTTGCAGGTGGACGTAGAAAACCCCAAGCAATGAACATACCTTCCTTTGGTACTCCATAAAATTTATTGCCTTGGGCTTGCAGAAAGCCCTTTCAGAGTAGGGAACGTGTCTCCTAATTGAAGAGAGCCAGCTCACTCACTCCGTCTACAGAGAGGCCTTTAAAGTCCAATGTGAAGAGCACCACTGTCTCAGGGCTGATTGCATGATTCACTCAGAGATGTTCCCACTTTCTCTTTCTGAGTGGCTGCCCGGCCTTTCCAGTTTGCTTTTGCAACAGAGGAGATGCAGTTAGAAGTTGAGCAGTGGTCTGATTATCGCTAAGCCTTTGAAAAGCTATTAGCACCAGCAAGCATAACTGACTTCAAGAGAAAGGCACTTCTTACTTGAAATAGATGTGCCTTGCTTCAGTTTCACTGAGCCCAAACAGCCAGTGATTTGAACTTACTCTGTTGAGCTTTACAATTCAAACTTCATAAAAGTCCTCTTAATTAGTAACAGATGGTGCAAG